GGAGGGCGGGTGTCAGGGGTGTAGAGATTGAGTTGGTTGGGGGGGGGGGGGTACGCTACAGGGTGGAATACTGTTGTGATGTATTTAGGCTGGAATCACATGATCGTTTTGGGGAAGCCACTATTAATGTGATGTCGTGTAGGCTAATATACAAAGAAAATAGGTGAGGGGGTGAAGAGATTGAGTTAGGGGGGTGGTAGGTACGCTACAGTAGTCGTGTGCGCTAATATACATAGAAAATAGGGTGTAGGGTGTCGTGGTATAGAAATAGTGAGGGAGGGGCGGAGAATGCGTCAGGGATCTTACAATCGTCTAGGTTGAAATGTAAACCATACAAACGTTGTAGGGAGCGTATGGGATATGCCGGGGGGGGGGGGGGGGGGAGGAGGAGATAAAGTTTTGAATATGTACCAGTAAATTATCGTCGAGATTTGAATTCCGGAAGTAGAAATTTTTTTACTCACCCGTAGCTGTTGTACTCATTGTCCTCAGAAGAGATCTGCCTAAATAGGAGGGGTAAGATTTAGTAGGTGGTGTAACAGAGGAATGCACGGGGACGTTTAAAATGGGTCTGTCGGCCATATGTTAAATCGGCCTTATTTCTGTCGGTCTTTCAGACGTCGGTCTTTTTTCCTGTTGGTCTAATTTCCTATCGGCCTTTTTATATGTCGACCTAATTTTCTGTCGGCGTTTTAGATGTCGGCATATTTTTTTGTCGACCTAATTTACTGTATTCCACAAAAAAAAATAATTTTTAAATGTGTTTTCTACAGATATTAGTGTGGCATGTATTTTTAAAATGTCTTTTTTACACTAATTAGTGTGATGTGTAATCCACAACAAATTATGTGATTGCATTTTTTTTTAAGTGTATTTCACAACAAATTATGTGATGTGTATTTTTAAAAATGTGTATTCCACAACAAATTATGAAATGTGTATTTTTAAAAATGTGTTTTCTACTTACTCGTAACTGCGACTCATAGGTGACGATACAGGAAAGAAGGTTCTGGGGAATGGTACAGCTAGTTAGGTGGTTAGGTGGTTATAAAGTGTGGGTGGTTAGGTGGTTATAAAGTGTGGGTGGTTAGGTGGTTATAAAGTGTGGGTGGTTAGGTGGTTATAACTTCTAGGTGTTTAGGTGGTAATAACTTCTAGGTGGTTAGGTGGTTATAAAGTGTAGGTGGTTAGGTGGTTATAACTTCTAGATGGTTAGGTGGTTATAAAGTGCAGGTGGGTAGGTGGTTATAACTTCTAGGTGGTTAGGTGGTAAAAACTTCTAGGTGGTTAGGTGGTTATAAAGTGTAGGTGGGTTAGTTGGTTATAAACTGTGGGTGGATAGGTGGGTATAACGTCTAGGTAGTAAGGTGGTTATAAAGTGTGGGTGGTTAGGTGGTTATAGCTTCTAGGTGGTTAGGTGGTAATAACTTCTAGGTGGTTAGGTGGTGATAAAGTGTGGGTGGATAAGTGGTTATAACTTCTAGGTGGTTAGGTGGTAATAACTTCTAGGTGGTTAGGTGGTTATAAAGTGCAGGTGGGTTAGGTGGTTATACAATGTGGGTGTTTATGAAGTTATCGCGTGTAGGGTGGTTATAATGTGGAGGTGGTTATGTATAAATAGAGTATAAGTGGTTAAGATTTGTGGTTAGTTATGTGGGGGGGGGATGGTGAGAAATGTTGGGGTGTTGAAAAAATATAGATTATTACCAATGTGGAGATGATGTAAAATGTGGAGATGGTGAATAGACATGGGACGTAAAATGTGTAGCTGATTCAATAAATGAGGTAGTAGAACATTTATAGGCGTGAGTAAATGAGGTAGTAGAACATATACATGCGTGAGTAAATGAGGTAGTAGAACATATATAGACGTGAGTAAATGAGGTAGTAGAACATATATAGACGTGAGAGGTAGTAGAACATATATAGACGTGAGTAAATGAGGTAGAAGAACATATAGTCGTGAGTAAATGAGGTAGTAGAACATATATAGGCGTGAATAAATGAGGTAGTAGAACATATATAGACGTGAGAGGTAGTAGAACATATATAGACGTGAGTAAATGAGGTAGAAGAACATATAGTCGTGAGTAAATGAGGTAGTAGAACATATATAGGCGTGAATAAATGAGGTAGTAGCACATATATAGACGTGTGAGGTAGTAGAACATATATAGGCGTTAGTAAATGAGGTAGTAGAACATATAGTCGTGAGTACATGAGGTAGTAGAACATATATAGACGTAAGTAAATGAGGTAGTAGAACATATATAGGCGTTAGTAAATGAGGTAGTAGAACATATAGTCGTGAGTACATGAGGTAGTAGAACATATATAGACGTGTGAAGTAGTAGAACATATATAGACGTGAGTAAATGAGGTAGTAGAACATATATAGACGTGAGTAAATGAGGTAGTAGAACACATATAGGTGTGAGTAAATGTAGAACTTACCCTGTGACCCTGGTCGTGCTTGTAAAAGGTGAGCCTTGCTGTAGCCTCTCAAAGTTAGTCGCCATGTTACACCTGAAAAGGTGAGCATATAGGCGTTATTTTAAAATATGAGCATAATGGTGTGTCAGTCCCATTCGAACCTTGTATGCATATAGGCGTTACTCTTAACCAAAAACAAATCTATTGATTGTATTGGCATCAAAAAATGTAACAAATGTTTTTTTTTTAAATCATAGGTCCGTATATATATATATATATATATATATATATATATATATATATATATATATATATATATATATATATATATATATATATATATATATATTTATTTATTTATTTATTTATTTATTTATATATATATATATATATATATATATATATATATATATATATATATATATATATATACTGTAGAGAACGTTACCTTTGTGTAGCAATACGCTGTATTTGTTGACAAAATCGCCTGTAGGATTCTCTTCTTGATTTGGTCCTGGAGAGTAGATCTCATGTGTCTATATAGTGTGTTATTTAAGCTTCATCTCCCTCCATCCCCACCCCCACCCCCTAAATGCGTCTCCCCCTCCCCCTCTTGCTGACAAGGTGCATCTCCCTTCCCCCCCCCCCCCCCCCCACCCTCACCTGAACACAAAACTATTTAACAAGTTCCAAACCACACTAATAAATATTCTAACACATTCTTTCAAAAAACTAAGAGCACTTTATGGTCATTAAATAATTGTTGGAAAAAGTCTCTTCATCAACCAAGCTTCAAGTTAAGATTATGGGGTAAATTATAGCCTTACGTACCTGCGAGTGACAAAGAAGCCAAAATCTACCCCAAAGAAGATGAGGGAAAACAAGACACTAGACAGGACTATGATGGAACTGAGCAGGTACCGCTCCCTGAGAAAATGAAAAAAAAAAGTAGAGTTCTCTTTTCGAACCTATCCAGAGGCGTAGCGAGGGGGGGGGGGACATATGTCCCCGGGCGTCGACCTTAGGGGGCGCCAAAATGGGTTGGAAAACAAATTGAAAGTTTGAGGGAGGGGGTGTAAATCAAGAGTTTGATGGGGGGGGGGGGGGTGGGGTGCAAATCGAAAGGTTGAGGGGGGGTGCAAATCGAAAGTTTGAGGAGAGGGGGGTAGCAAATCGAAAGTTTGTCCTCGGGCGCCGGGAAGGGTCGCTACGCCTCTGAACCTAACGGTCTTGTGGTCAAGTGAAATTCACTTGTTTCTGTGATCTCGACAAATGAAGGGATAGCGTGGTCAGCACTATGCCCGGCCACCTTCGCTTTCGCTTACGTGAGTTGGGTACCCATCAGGGATGGGTGGACTCGATGACGTCATACTGGGTTAGTAGGCTAGCATTCTATGTTTTAGACCATGCAGTTTCACTCCCAGAGTCAAAATAGCACACATATTTTAGTTCCATGACCGAGAAGGTAGCAGAGGCGTAGCGAGGGGGGGGGGCGGGGGGACGACATATGTCCCCGGGCGCCGACCTTAAGGGGGCGCCAAATGGGATGGAAAAACAAATTGAAAGTTTGAGGGGGGGGAGGGTGCAAATGAAAAGTTCGAGGGGGGTGCAAATCGAAAGTTTGACCCCGGGCGCCGGGAAGGGTCGCTACGCCTCTGGAAGGTGGATTTACCTTAACGGCCGCACATATTAATATAAAGGTGAGAAGGACGCTTCGCCTCTAAGACGAATGTTAAAGAGCAGAAATAAAATCCCTATCTCACTGCTCCAGCAATATTTTTTTTTATCTAGCTGAAACTTTAGCATATTTTAAAGACTAGATAGCTTTTGCGTCAAGATGGCCAATTATTTCTTATAACACGTACTTCTAAAGTAATAAAATAATCAACAGTAAAGTTACAAAAAAATGGACATTTAAATATAGATTCGCTTTAGTTAATTAAATGCAGTAATTTTATATTAGAAACTATGAACTATAAAAACTTTCTGTGCCCAAATTGGGCACACTAACAAAGGAGTTCTCTGTATTCTGTATGAGCCCACAAAAGTATAAAATCTGGAGTTCTAACAAATAAATATCTACATTTAAAGTAGGCCTACTAATGAACGAATGGCTCTATAAATTCATCTACTTATACTCATCAGTATAAATGTTAAGTACGGATAGCTGGAAATCTACATGAATTTATTAACGTATACTCATCAATACAAATTTAAAGAGTGGATAGATGGATACCTACATGTATCTATCCACATGACACACATAATCCATGCCGCTCCACGTCTTGTTGGGTAGGCACTGGCGGATTTGATCCCCGGACACATAGTGAAAGTTTCTTAGGCATTTAAAGGATACTGTCTTGTCATCGATCCTCGTCACTTCGTAGTTACCACTGGAAGGCATAGTATACAATAGAATATATATATATATATATATATATATATATATATATATATATATATATATATATATATATATATATATATATATATATGTGACGAGCGAACATTTATCCTGCCGACAACGCCAATTGTAACGAGCCAACAGTTACCATGCTCGCAACGCCACATGTAATGAGACCTAATTGCCTGTAGTGCCACGTGTTAACGAGTTTAACCACTCATTCTAGACAACATTGACCACAGTATAGATACTCAAGATGCAGGTTCGCTATTGATCCTTTATTACATGAATCAAGAAATGCTTCATAATAACACAATAAATCAACACAGGAATGCTTCTCAATAATAGTCTGAATCAACTGACCCCTAACAGTCCTTCACTAGGCTTTATATAACTGAATCCACATGTCTATAATCCTCCTTAACACAATACGGCTAACCCGTTCTATAACCGACTTGACATAGTCACACAGACTGACTGATCTAAGCGAGCGATGAAGATGGAAGAGAGCTCGCTGAAACGGGAAGAGAGAGCGAGTCCTGCCGTGCCCTCCTATTTATGCCTTGTATCCGTACTCGTCTCCGTACTTGTATTTCTCCGTAATCGATACTTGTACTCGATCTCCGACCACCAGTTGAGTAGTTCAAACGTACAGACCGTAAAATAACATCTGCGTCCTATCCATCAAAGCCGACAGGCCGTCTGAATACCGTTTCCCAAAATAGCACGCGCCGGCTTTGAGGTTGTTATCAGCCCGACCCAATAAGCCACCTGTTATCGGTTGCATCAGACCAACACTGTGTCTCGGCTTCTCGTTCGTTATCATTTGTAACTGGTAGTTAGGCCTACCCCAGTTACATCCACCCCTGCTTTTTTTGTGTGTTTTCAACCACAAACAACGCCTGGCAGGTGCACTCCTACAAAGTCAATCGCACAGTCGTAAAAAAAAATCTATTGTTCTACTCACTGTCCACGACGTTCCATTCGTATACGATTGACAGTTCTACCTATTTCACATATCAACTGTGTCTACATCATCTTCCTGAGACACAAAACAGTTCTAGAATTCACATCCACCCTTTCCATTTGGTGCCTTCACCAGTTCACTTCTATAGCTCTTTGAACAGTCTGTTTTCATACCAGCGCGACCATGAAAGAATTGATGGTTGCTGACAAAAAATTTCGTATTCCTTCTGTTCCTTAAACTTCTCCGCGGACCACTTATCTGATGGTCTACTGTCTCTCTGCTTCTGGAGGGACCGGGATCCTCATTGTTGCCGGTATCCTCCCCTTGCGTATCGCTGTTGTTCTGTTGATGGTGATATGGTTCCGGAATGGGTATGTGAATTTCCGTTATAACTTCCGGTTCCCTAATTGTCTTGGGTTTCTGTGTGTGTAACTGCTCTTCTTGCCTATTCCAATATTTCTTTAATTGAGCAATATTCGCCCACCGATCCGGTTTGGCGTGATCGATGGGTCTTATCTTAAAGGGGCCACCTGCTACTTTAGGCATCTCCACGACTTGCCATATCTCCTGTCCCCAGAGATCGTGGATTTTGTTTCTGCCTAACGGGTGGCTACGCAGTAATACCCTGTCATTCAGTTTGAGTGGCGGGTCCTTCGTCTGTATCGGCGGTTCCCTTCGCCGAGATTCATGTTCTAGTCTTTCCTGTACTACCCTGTACATTTCTCTAATTCTTCTCATATGTTCATTCACATATTCCAGTGCGGTGTATGAGCCAGTCATACTCTCCCTTTTTCCTAGGAACAAATCAAGAGGGAGTCGAGCCTCTCGTCCGAACAGCAACATGTATGGCGTAAAGCCGGTTGTGGCATGGGGTGTGCAGTTGTATAGATATACCAACTCTGGGAGAAAATCAGGCCAACGTTTTTTCTGTTCAGGTTCTAGCGTACGCAGCAAATCATGCATGCTGCGGTTGAACCGTTCACACTGTCCGTTTCCCTTCGGATTAAATGTGGTTGTTCTAGATTTGTTGATCCCGTAGTGGCTGCACAGTTGGTTAATTACTTCTGACTCGAAAGCCCTTCCTTGGTCAGAGTGTAATTGTCTTGGTATGCCATATTTGATGAACCAATGTTCTATTAATACCTTTGCCACTGTTTTGGCAGTCTGATCTCGTGTGGGCACCGCCACAGTCCATTTGGTGAATACATCAGTCATTACCAACACATGTTCCGTCCCATCCGATGATTGCTCCAACGACGTAAAGTCCATCGCCACAATCTCTAGTGGTTTTGTCGCTAGTAGGTGTCCTGATGGCTGTCTCATTTTGACAACTGGCATTTTCGCATGCTGACACCTCACACAAGCCTCACAATGGCGTTTGACCTCCATTTCCATATTGGGCCAGTAACACCTCCGTCGTAATATTTTGTGCGTCCTGTCCTGACCCTGGTGTCCTGCCCTGTCATGTGCCAACCTTAGCACTTCTCCTCGTAATTGTCCCGGCACCACCACCTGGTGTATTGTGCCATCAATTTGGTCATGAATTCTCCGCATGAGAACACCATCCTTTATACTGAGACGGTTCCACTGACTCAGTATTTTCTTTGTTTCTCGACCAAATTGTTCTCTTTCCCTTCTTCCTGGGAATTTTTGTTCCTGGACGTGTTTCAATAGCGGTTGTAAGCCACTATCCGTTCTCTGGGCATCTCTTATCTTTTGGTGATTAAGGCAATTAAAATCACTACTGTCCATATGTTCGGGTTCCGTGGATATGTGCTCCACCCCGGTCTGCCCGTTTTGCATCACTTGTACCCCATGAGGGATATCTGTTGACGTTCTGACCTCACATATTCCTGTCAGTGTTTCTTCCTCATCACCCGGTGTCTCGTAAGGATTCCTTGATAAAGCGTCCGCATTGCCATTGGACCGCCCCGGGCGATGTTTTCTCTCTAGGTCAACGAGTGCCAATTCTGCTGCCCATCGCTGTTCGATGGATCCCAGCCTTGCTGTAATTTGAAGTTCTTTTTCAATATCTGATAATTTTTCTTCAAGTCTTGTTTGAGACTCTTTCATTCCTTCTAGTTTGCCAACACTGTTCTGTTGTCTAATATTTTTATTTACTTCTTCCGATAACAGACACTTTAAAGATGAACATTTCTCCTGTGCTTTTGATTTGCATGAACTTTTCCTATCCAGTTTCCTGGTTAGACTTTGAATTCCTTTATTAAGTCTACCAATTTTCTTCTTATCATCATTTTTCTCTACCAACAAATTGTTCACTTGAAACTTTTCAACATTCAAGTTCATTTCACAGTTCATTTTTTCCATTAGTTGTGTTTTGCCTTTCTTTTTCTCCCTACTGTGTTTCTGTGTCATTTTGTTTACCAAGTCCTTACCTCGCCGCTCTGTAGCCTTGACCTGCCTTACAGAGGGCGATCGTTTCACCGGACAGTACCGTGCCATATGTCCGGGTTGTGAACAAGACAAACAAATTGGTCGACCGTCTGCCGTCCATTGGAGTGATGGCTTGGCAGGACGCGGCCGTCCAACCCGTCCCTGTTTTGTCCCGTTCTTTTCCTGATTCTCAGCTGTTGACCTGCTTTCCAACCTCTCCAAACGTTGGTCAACCTTCTCTAGGTGGGCCAACAGTTGAGCCATCATGGTCTCCATCGTGTCGGCCCCTGTGGGTGGGGATTGTCTCTGTTCAGGCACAGAGACTTTGTCCACCGAACAGTTCGATTGGTCCTCATCCTCGGACCTGCGGATCGCTGAGTTCCTGACCTGAAGGAAGGTCAACTGCTGGTCTCTGTGGACCTCCTCTTTCAACTCTCTCCTTAAGATCGGGGTTGCTAGCCCCTCGATGAAATGGTCCCTCAGTAGGCGTACATCAATGTCCGGTGATTTGCCCTTTACCAAATCAAAGGCCCTGTTCATCCTGTGTGAGTACTCCATCACACTCTCCGCCATTCTCTGCTTTAAGCCCACGAATCCCGATAGCAGTTGCACTCCCGACCGTCTCTCCCCAAAGGTCTCCATAATCAGATCCAGCACCTTATCTGGATCTGATTGGACGGTCCTATCGTGGCACTTAACCTCTGCCCTAACCGTTTCACCTATACTGCCCATCAGCAGTCTTAATCTTTCCTCTGGTGACATATGTCTCGAGGCCCAGGCCGCTTTGACCTCTTCACTGAACCTGTTGGTTAAAGTTGGGTCTCCGTCCCCGTAAAATTTGTTAATATGGGACTCTCTGGGTAGGACCACTATATGGGTCTGCTTCTCGTCCAGAGTAGACATTTTCTTCCTTAAGTACTAAAAAAAAGAGAGTTCTTTCTTACCGTGTGTGTATGAAAAATTTTTCCTCGTTCCTCAATTTTCACAGTTCCTGAATGTCCGAATTCACACACACACTAAACACAGTTATGCACAAGGTTGACTATAGGTGCCTTAAACGGCAAGTCTAGTTGAATTCATCCTGATCGCAGCGCCAATTGTGACGAGCGAACATTTATCCTGCCGACAACGCCAATTGTAACGAGCCAACAGTTACCATGCTCGCAACGCCACATGTAATGAGACCTAATTGCCTGTAGTGCCACGTGTTAACGAGTTTAACCACTCATTCTAGACAACATTGACCACAGTATAGATACTCAAGATGCAGGTTCGCTATTGATCCTTTATTACATGAATCAAGAAATGCTTCATAATAACACAATAAATCAACAGGAATGCTTCTCAATAATAGTCTGAATCAACTGACCCCTAACAGTCCTTCACTAGGCTTTATATAACTGAATCCACATGTCTATAATCCTCCTTAACACAATACGGCTAACCCGTTCTATAACCGACTTGACATAGTCACACAGACTGACTGATCTAAGCGAGCGATGAAGATGGAAGAGAGCTCGCTGAAACGGGAAGAGAGAGCGAGTCCTGCCGTGCCCTCCTATTTATGCCTTGTATCCGTACTCGTCTCCGTACTTGTATTTCTCCGTAATCGATACTTGTACTCGATCTCCGACCACCAGTTGAGTAGTTCAAACGTACAGACCGTAAAATAACATCTGCGTCCTATCCATCAAAGCCGACAGGCCGTCTGAATACCGTTTCCCAAAATAGCACGCGCCGGCTTTGAGGTTGTTATCAGCCCGACCCAATAAGCCACCTGTTATCGGTTGCATCAGACCAACACTGTGTCTCGGCTTCTCGTTCGTTATCATTTGTAACTGGTAGTTAGGCCTACCCCAGTTACATATATATATATATATATATATATATATGTTCATATATATATATATATATATATATATATATATATATATATATATATATATATATATATATATATATATATATATATATATATATATATATATATATATATATATATATATATAGATATATATATACATACACATGCTATACAACATTTAAAGCTAATGCTATAGATATATATATATATATACATACACAGGCTATAAAACATTTAAAGCTAATATATATATATATATATATATATATATATATATATATATATATATATATATATATATATATATATATATATATCCCTCCTCCCCCTCTGTCTATCTCTCCCATCCCAGTGTAATCAAGTAGAACAGAGCCAACTTACTAATTGCTGTGGATGATAATCTGCTAAAAATAAACACTATGAACTCCTCTCCCTCCCTCTCCATCTCTTCCCCTTCTCAACATCTCCCTCTCTCTCCCTCCTTCCCCCTCCCTCTGTTCACTCCCTCTCCCTCTATCTACCTTCCTCCCCCTCCTCCACCCCACCTCACTCTCTCCCCAGTATGATCAAGTAGAACGGGGCCTACTTACTACTTGCTGAAGGTGATAATCTGTGGACAAAACACCATGAGCTCCTCTCCTGTAGTCGCATTACAGTACACAGCCATTTCAAGCTGCTGGCGCTGGACACAAGGTTCACACTCGCTATCCTAAACAGTAATTAGTGCATGGGTCTAATTAAAGTAATTTAACAACCATTGTCTGCATTGATTTCTTAAATCACTCCTACAATGCCTACAGACACAGAGTGGTCTAGCGGAAGAGAGCTGGACTACTAACCCGTAAGTCTCGAGTTCGAATCCGGGTTCAAGTCAGGGATAGCAAAGGCGTCTGGGCATAGTGCTGTCCACACTATCTCTTCATATGCCGACACATCGGCCCTATATTGCTTCCCAAGAACCAGACAACTCGATTTCTTTTTCCAGATTTATATACACCGTTGTATTCAAAATGAACCAAGGCATCATGTCGAAAAATTTCAAGACAATATTGTTATATCTCATCAGTATTACACAACAATTTAATTTCACCAAGTCCTTCAATATAGAAGTAACTAGAATACCCGTCATCCGTTGGATAACTGTGGGTTTCGGGGGTCATCCATCAAAAAACATCACGTCTGTCACTCAGAGGCATAGCGACCCTTCCCGGCGCCCGGGGACAAAGTTTTCGATTTGAACCCCCCCCCCCCCTCAAACTTTTGATGTGCACCCCCCCCCCACTCAAACTTTCGATTTGAACCCCCCTCAACCTATCAATTTATTTTTCCAAACCATTTTGGCGCCCCAACATATGCCCCCCCCCCCTTCCCCCTCCCCACCCCCCGCCTCCCCTTCCCCCCCCCCCACCCCTCGCCTCCCCTCCCCACCCCCCGCCTCCCCTCCCCTACCGTCCCCCCCCCCCTCCTCGGTACGCTACTGCAGTGTCACTTATCGTCACAAAAAACAGACCCCACATTCAAATATATGTTTTTTATCTTTTAAAAACACCGAAAACACCGATTTCGGACTATCCCTTTATAAACTGACGTCACAGGTGACCTACTCAACTCTACTTCACCTGCCCAGTGTCCTGCCAAGTCTCAGACAACATGTTTTTATCGTTTAAAAAACAATTCCAGCCGAGCATGTATCTGACCACACTATCCTTTCATATGCTTAGGACAAAGAAACAGATGAACTCTACTTCACCTGCCCTGTATCTTGCCAAGTTCAGATAGGCAACGTTATCATTCACATCTAAAAAAAAAAATTGAAAAAAAAAATTTCATTGACATATTGGTCTAGAACCCGTGCCTCCTGCATGAGAGCTGACTACGCTACCATTTTAGCTATTTACTCGTGACGTCACAAGTGAATTTTTATACTATACTTTGTGTCTCCTTATGCAACTTGATTTACGCGTATAGATTCTAGATCTAGATCTAAAAATAAGTCTAGTAGTACTAACTTTCAAATTAAATTTTATCTTAAATAAGCCAAACAAAGATTTATATAAAATAATTAAGGCCTGAAATAGATTCTAGATGTAGAATTTACATTGAATCTAGTGACCTACATCTAGGTTAGATCTAGATCTAGGCTAGATTCATAAATTTCCTTCGATAGCTGATCTTTAGATCTAGATCTAGAGAAATTTATCGTAAAACTAAATGAAAAAGACAGTTGAAAATTGATATAAGTGTTGGAACGTAATAAATACAGCAAACGGACGTATTGTTTAAGTTATAGCCGGCAGAAAATTAGCTTTGTAACGCGTGAAACTTTTGAATGGGCCACAAAGTCTATGATGGGGTCCGCCATTTTTATTGTACCAAAAATGTAAACACATCAAGGGACGTCACTATCCCCACAAAGTTTATTCAAAGTATTAACATTTTTAAAAAAATACGGTTAATTTAACTATGAATAAATCAATAAATTAATTAACGTCTTTAAATAAATTTGTGATTAACAGTCTGTCTGCATTAAAAAATTATTCTCTACCTACATACTATTTTACAGCTCTCCAGATAGAGCCGAACATATCAGGATACTTGATCAGGCAAACAAACAAACAAACAAAAAAACAAATAAATATTCAAACATGTAAACAAACTTGACTTTTAGTAGTATATAGATATGCATAAGGGAGACAAAACTTTAAAGTCTTGTTGTGAACATTTTTGAAAAATGAAGTTAAAACGGTCTGGTTCTATGGAGGCGAAATAGGTTAAATATAGTTAGTATATATATATATATATATATATATATATATATATATATATATATATATATATATATATATATATATATATATATATATATATATATATATGTTTGTGTGTGTGTTAGTGTGTGTTGGTGTGTCTAAGTGTGTGTGTGTGTGTGTGTTTGTGTGTGTAAGTGTGTGTGTGTGTGTAAGTGTGTGTGTGTGTGTGTGTGTGTGTGTGTGTGTGTGTGTGTGTGTGTGTGTGTGTGTGTGTGTGTGTGTGATTATTAAAGATCAGGTTTAGGGTCTGGATTATGGTCAAGTTTTCGAGTAATGGTCTCGGTTATATGGTCAAGGATATGTTTAGGAATAAAATTAAGGCTAGGGGTAGAGCCGTAGTCACTATAAGAAAAATTCGAATTTGTAACATGTCATCTTTGCCATAAGGCAGCAACATTCATAGCCCTGCCTCTTGTTTAACAAAGCACAGTTTTAATGCCCATGTGGCCTATTATAGTGTGCAGCTATTAAGAGTACAAGGCTACATATTATACAAGCCTAATGTTTGCGATTAAAGAGTGCTATCACATGGATCATTGGCAAGCCCTCATCGTACAGAGCTGACGGTTCTTAACATTTCTGGAAGTACCGAACCCCACCAGTTTCAGATGCGCATTCCCCCTGAACTCTTCTTAATAATTCTATAATCTCATAAGTTTGTTGTGTTGTGTGTCTAGACCTCCTCCGAACCCCTGAGACTGACTCACCGAACCCATGGGGTTCGGTTGAACCCAGGTTAAGTATAGAGCACAGCCTAAATCGGTGGTGGGTGCAATGTGTGTGATATGGGTTGCGGGCTTTGATTTCTTTACCACAAGTTATTTTTTTTTTCTTTTTAATTATACCTTTACATTATAAATACTCCAAAAATAAAACGTTAAATGGGCTCGAAAAGGAAGCTTTTGATACAGTTTCAATGTGTATATGGTATTAATTTTACTAGCAATTTAGTAAAGTACTTACCTCGTTTTAGCAGACGGTTGATTTGTCTATTGATATGCCCCGGAAATGAAAGTACAATGACGTAAACAGTTTGAAAAAGAAACAAACTTGAAAAATATTATTACATATAAACAAATTTGCGCACGAACATTGGTGCGCAGTAGGCTTAGTTAGATATTCTATTTCTTCTCTGTAGGTTCTAGATTATCTAGATCTATATCTATTTTCCATAAATGTTTTTTTTTCTAAACTGATATATTGTGAGTATTATTCTGAAAATCTACATTGGTGCACACATTACTTATTCAATTTACTTTAAATTTTGAGTGTTGGAAATCTAAATTGAAACACCTGATGTATCATCCACTTTCTTGTTTTTAAGGGCTTTAAACATTGGTGTTGGGTTGCCGAGTTTAACACAACCTGACCCATTAGTTTGGTACACTGAAATTATCTATTTTCCTTATTTTAATTCAGGCAACCTCTGATCATTTTGTTTTATCTGGAAATCTATATGAAATAAATTAAATACATTTATAAATTATAAATACGATTTTAAGTACATTTTTGTAACATAATGTCTAGATTCTACGAATGTGAAAAAACTTTTAAGTTTTAAGCGATCTATAAAATTCATCTAGATCTAGATCTAGCAAGCGACATTTTAATGTAGGCCTACAAAAATAAAAAATCTGGACACTTATTCTAGATAGCAGACAACAGCATTTTCAAATTTTGTAGATTCTAAATGTCATGGTAATGAAATTATTTTGCTTTTCCTGTTTCATTTATTATTTGAATTAAAAACATTATAGAATCTAGATCTAATCTAGATCTAGATTTATGGGTTTAGATATGGGTAATCCCTTAGTTTAGCGTCGGTTATTATTCCGGAATCGTATGTATCTAAAAAACTAGATCTACGGAACTACGATTATTCCCACGTCTGATCAAAACTAAACAAAACAAGGCTTGTTGACTAGATTTTTAGATCTAGAATAGATCTAGATCTAGTCTAGATCTAGATTTAGATTTAGATCTAGATCTAGAAATCTAGATCTAGACTTCTAGATTTAGATCTAGTGTGTATCACATGTAGAGTGAGAAACACAACATTAGGGTACTTAGATCTAGAATCTAGATCTAGAATCTAGATCTAGTACTTAAGATTAAGAACCAAGATTTATTGTTTTTTATTTAGTGTTGTTGTCTGCATTACTATACAGTATACTATACTACTAGATTCTAGACTATAGTCATACTTTTACATTTTAATTTTACTACAACAAAGTTATGAATAATTATTTTTAATTATTTAAAAATGGAAAATATTGCAGCCTAATTGAGAATTTTATTTTTGTTTGATGGTGTGATTAATTTGAATTGCATTGTTTATTGTATCAATGTTTAGGTGAGCCATTAGATTGAGCAAAAAAATGTCTCTAACATTATCCCAGTGTGAACAACTTTTTACACCTCCTGCGCCAGCAACTGTGAGTTGTGAGGAATTTTCGTTTGGGTAAGAAAGTTTGATGACAATATTTTACCAGCGCTCCCATGGATGATTGATAGCTGTATATTTTTAGTGCATGTTAACATTTGTCAGACATTTTTGTTACATTTCAAATGTTTTAAAATTATTCTTTTGATAAAATAAATAACTCGTATGTCAGTGTGTCAGATATTCTCTAATTCACTTAACTGTATAGATCTAGTGATAATAAATAATATGCTAATTCATACACAATCTGGTCTACGTGATTATTTATATCTATTAAAAAATTATTTGAGGTTTAACTTTTTAAAAAGTCTGCTTTGCCCATAATTGTATGGATTTAAGAAGCTATTTCTTGCTTATTAAAATATAATTTTTATAATTTTATGTAATTTAGTGGCAAGTTTCATGCTCATTATGTCAATGATACAACTGTCAAGTTTCACTGTGTTTACAACCACTATTATGTAAGTGGTGACCGCTTCAGCCATTGTATAAATGGAACCTGGACCAACCCAGAAGGTGTAATATGTGAGGTGCTGTTTTACATGTAAGTTGAACCTAGTGAATGTCAAAAGTCGTTGCTTTAATGTATTTTATTTTTCTGTCTATTTATTTTGGTGTTTTATTTTTGCCTATAACCTTTGTTAAATTTTTATAATAGTGTCCTTTTTGAAGGACTTTAATGTTTTTATTTATCTTTAAACCAAACAATTATTTGAAAACTTAACTTTTGACTAAAAGTAATACATGCTTGATAAATGTTTGCTTCTATAGTCCTATAACTTTTTTTTTTAATTTGATGATTTTAGGCCTACAGTCTTGTTAACTTAATGTGTTCAGTAAGCCAATGTTAGATACATATGTAAAGGATATACCTAAAGAAACATGGCAGTAGTGAATAAATACTACACATGTAAACTGAAATAAAATAACTGTTTAAAGCTATAAAACTAAATGCAGTACATACCTGTGTTGATATATAGATGACAAAAATAGGTTATATTTTTACTACTTCCTCCAAGGGGAGGGTAGTGGATGTAGTCAGCTTGAAAGAAACATTAGTAATGGTCAACAGACTATTACTTTAATATAGCTTCAAGTAAAACTTGACTGATTTAATACTAACACACACACATTTAATTTTTAATGCTTTACTAGAATTCAACTTGCTGTATGACACCATCATTTTATTTTACTTGTTCTTTATTCTTCAAGCTGTCCTGAACTATCATATTTTGTGTTTGTTCTAGGTCAAAGAAAAGACTTGCTCCACTGATAACCATTTGTACTCTGATACCATCATTACTGATGCTGTTTGTAGATTTTGTTGCATTCCGTTTCCGAAAGTAAGACATTGTATTTCTCTTTCATTGTATCTTTTTTTAAACTATTCCCTAAATGTATAGATAAACTAATATAATAAACTAATATAATTTTGCATTTTCCAAAATAGTTATTTGTAATTAAGTTTCCATTCTAGTTAAGTAAAAAGTGACAAACATATCAGAACATACCTGGTCAATTCAAATTCTGAACCATTAAGACAATGTGTTTTTTGTACCAGATAAACTGATGAATAACAAGACATTGTAGTGTATTGATATCTTTTTTAAAAACAAAATAGTCTCATTATTGATTTCAATCAAGGGTTTGGAATTGTTTTTTAGAGATATATACAATTTATTACTAGTGTGACTAAACAGCAATTTTATTTTGACTAAATATAATGTTAAACAATTTAAATAATTGCTACCTGCTTTCTAAGAAGTTGAAGTGGTCTATTTAATGAGTTGGAATGCATATTAATAAGAAAACTTTACTCAATAATTAGTGCAACCTCAGTGCTCCTAAAGGTCAATTCACTGAAAACAGCCTGTATTATTTTTCAGAGAAAAGATGCGAGCTGAACAAAAAAGACTTCATATTGCACCCAATAGTGACTTAGATATGTAGGAAAATTTAGTTATCTCATACTTTAATTATTTTAATTACTACTTTATTATTACTAAGCATGCTTACATAAGAATCTTTCTTTAGAAAGCATTACTTCAGTTGTAGATAAATTTTTATAATGACATTACTTAAAAGACTACTAAGTGATTTTAAAATTGAAGTTTGTAAGCAATTTACTATTTTAACTTATTGTAATGTTTAGTTGATGACTAGTCTTTGCGTCTAGATTATAATATCCTACATACCTTTCTTTTCTTTTGCATATAAACACTTGCAGTGATTTGAACCACTTGACAAAGAAAAGACAGCGTTTGTAAGTTTCTTTTTTTTAAATTTATAAACTAGTTGTAGCATTTGTTCTTTGATGCTTTTGAACCTCTATTAAAACTGGCTGATAGCTCTCATGACTTAAAATTTTAATGAACAATACAGTCAGAGAATTAAGTTGTTCTTTTTTTAATTGAAAACATTCACAAATATTAAAATAGTCTTTCCATTTTCTTCCAGTTCATCCATACCAAGTGTTGTATTTTCATTTTGTTTTTCATAGTAGATTAATTTGAAGTTAACTTGTTAGTTCTAGCCCAACCTCTCCCCTTCTTTCGTCAATTTTTGCTGATCTGTCAAACTTAAAATTTTATGTTCAGAAAACTTTTTCCCCACTTCTTAAAGCATTAATACTTTATTTATTAGTGTTTTATTTATGTTCCAAGAATGTTTAATGTAAAATAATAGAGTTCAGATGCAAAACTGAATTAATAAGATGGAAGTCTTTTAGGACTGTTTTAGCATCACTGTCTATATGCTCTAACTGCACCACCAGCCAATATCTGGTTTGTAGGTCTGCATACTGTTAGACTAGTGAATCTCTGATGCAGACATGCAGTGATAAATGTATACATTTTTTGTAATTGTCATATCAGAGTGGATTTCCTCCAACGCAAATAAGCATTATGTGTTAATATGTTAAGGGGCATATGGTACATTAGTTCAGATTTCAGCCTGCTTCCATAGGCTTTGTCCATCCAAGAACAATCTGCAAGGCAGTAATTGTTTGTTTTAGTTCTCTCTCCCAAAAGTTATTGAATCAGATTGAACTGGGATCTTAGATATAATATATGTATATATATGTATATATATATATGTATATATATATATATATATATATATATATATATATATATATATATATATATATATATATATATATATATATATATATATATATATATATATATATATATATATATATGTACATACATACTTATATTCATTGATATGAATAATAATACAATTTTTATTACAGACCTTCACTGCGCCTTAAAAGTACATTTGAGTGAGTATTGTTTTATAAAGCTTATTATTGAATTGGGGACGGAGTGGCCTAGTCTTAGAGAGCTAGACTTTTAACCTGTAAGTCTCGAGTTCAAATCCAGGTTCAAGTCAGTAGACTGTCCCTGAGTCCACCCAGCTCTGATGAGTACCTAACTCACATTAGAGAAAGTAAAGGCAGCTGGGCATAGTGCTGACCACACTATCCCTTCATACGCCAAGGGCACAGAAGCAGGTGATCTCTACTTTACTTGCCGCATAGTTCGTCAGGTTCAAAAGGGGAACTTTATTATTGACATCTTGCGTGTTTTTTAAAAAAAAAAATCTTAAATGTTACCTCATTTTATTACTGAATTTTGTAAATTTATAAACCAGGACTCTTGATCCACATCACATAAGGCCAGATTTCTCCCGCACAAGTTCTGCATCTGACTTGGCAGCAGTACCTAACCACCCGTAAGTGTTACTGTTACCTTAACACATAACTTATAACTAACTTTCCACCTTATTAATTGTTCAAAAGCTTATCACTATTGAAAATTTTCAAAAAGGTAATGCATGTTAGTTAGACATCTTATTATAACTTTTTCATTCCCTCAACATAAGTAACTTTCTTTTAATAAATTTACTATTTTTTCATCTGATTTAAAAGTTACGAAGACATTATGTCTACATCAAGCGGTAAAACACCATCAAGGTAATTAATTTTTTTTTCACACATTTTGTATTATTAATTACAATACAGATAAAGACCAATGTTTTCGGTAGGCCCTATACTTTAACACAATTACAGCAAAAAAAATTAGACTTTTGTTACATATATGAGGGTTAGGCTTCTAAGTCAGGGGTCTCCAATCTTTTTAGTCCGAGGGCCGCATTAGCAATCAAATTTCAGTTCGAGGGCCAGCTTCTTTCCGGCATGTCTTTGATTTTTCTGGGCAAAGTTCCTCAGCCATCACCAACAAACGTTTTTTCCATGGACAAAAAGATGTCCGCGGGCCGGATCAGAGGATATTGCGGGCCGCAGTTTGGAGACCCCTGATCTAAGTGATACAAGGATAAATGTCAATTTTTACTGTTAGTGTGCATAATTCCTTACCAAGATTTTGTTTCTTATCAACATTTTATATAGGCCTACACTATTTAACTGTGAGATTTTATTGGAGATTGGTTTAAGTGGTGGGAAGAACATGAATGTTTTTAATTAAACAGTTGTTGTAATCATAGGAATAAGTATAGGAGAATTTCAATGTAGAAAAATATTAACAAATTATATCATTTGTTCTCAGTATTTACCCTGCTGCTCCACCAATCCGTAGTAAGTCATCCAGGTAAGATATTCTCTATAATCAAACTAATATTTACAACAGCATGCCTTCTTTTTTGTTTTTAATTGTAATGTTTGGGAGAGATTCCCTCCAACACAATCAAATATTATGTGACAACTTGATATGTGCTATGTAGGCAGTTGACTTTGGTTCTAGCCTGCTTTTCTTTTTTAATTTGTTTCCATAATCTTTGTCCACCCAAGAACAAACTACAAGGCAGCAGTTGGTTGATTTTTCAAGTTTTCTCTCCTAAATAGGTTGCTGTCCTTAGCTAACGAGCCTCATCTACCCAGGGGGCTCAAACTCAGGACTTTTGGTTTAGCAACCATGATCTTTATTTACCTGACCAACAACATTCCCTAAATTATGAAATAGTTTTCTTCAAGAGTAACAACCAATCAGGGTTAAGACCAGGTCCTTTTCAAAACGATATATTGAGCGCAGACACACAATTTTCTTTTCATCATGCTGTATACTTTTATTTAACCTTTTTTTTATATTGGTCTGTTAGGTCATACTACAATTTTAATTTGTAACAATTCTTTAATCTGCTTTTAAATTATTTTAAAATATGTCACTGTGTTTAACCAGTTTCTGATTTTATTATTATTATTTTTTTATTATTTTTAGAGTTGATTCCATCTTACCGCTTAAAATCAAAGGAATGGATAAAAAGTAAGTTGCTTTAAAAAACATTCTCTATTAGTATACTAGCCTACTACTGTTCTTTATTTAATGATGATTTATGCAGACCGTTAAGGAGTCCAAGTAATGTTTTAAAACTGAGATCAATTTTCCCTTTTTGCACAAAATTATCTTTAATAAGTGTCACAGGCTTTTCTCCTACCTATTTCATGGCACACACTCAAAACAAAAATCAACCCTTGTTCCTGTAATTTCCATAATTTTATTGGTTCATAAGAACATTGTCTTCACTCCCAGACATCGCCATGTTGTTCCCGCGCTATCTACCTCTCGCTTTCTTTCCTTTCGCACATGCGCACACCCATCCTATATTTTATATTTTATCTCGCCTTTTTAAGACACACACTCGCAACATACATTCATATACATTTGACTGTTACAATAATCAAACAAAATAGATCATTGTGTAAAATCAAACTTAAAAGCCAGAACATCAGCTTACTTGGACTGTCACATTTCTTTTACCTGGTATAGTCAGATGGTAAAAATGCAGTTTTAACCATTATCAAACAGCATTGTTCTGTTCTGTCTTAGATATTATTATAAAAGGCTGCTTACTGTCACCCTATTGAAATCATAGTTTTGAATTATTTCTATTTTTTTTATATTTGTAAAAACAGGCGAGCCCTATCTGCCCTTCCGGAATCAGAAAGCAGTTATAGACATTGAAAAACTGAGATGAACATACATAAGTAGGCTGATAACCTTTCACTGTAAGTTTGGACCAAATAGTCAAAATAAAAAATAAGATTGTCTCAAAACTAGAATGGAGAAGTTATTAATTTGTAATATTTCAACCAATTACTAAGAAGCTGGGGATTTGTATGGCCCATTGGCTTTTACTTTTTAGCACAGTACTGTGTCAAGATCAGATTATTTTAAAAAGAAAACAACTAGAGAGGCCTTATGTACTTGTTATTAGTAAAATTTCAGAACCAGCCTGTTGTAAGTTTAGTTTATGTTATATTTATCTTTTACAATCAGCTAAAGGAGATCAATTATTTTAGACTTCCTTCTATCTACCAAAAATGGAAATTTTAGCTATTATTTTATTTTACCATTATTGTAGGCCTATTTTGTTTTTATTGGTAATTTTTTTATTGTAAACTTGTGGATATGTAAATTGATATAATTTGTTTTCTTTATTTTTCTATGTAGCTGGGGGATTTTGTTTTGTTAATTGTGTCCTGTTATTCAGGTCTAAGATTTTAAATTGATTTAATGTATAGATTGTAGACTACACATGCAATTTGGTATAGCAAAATGTTAAGAAAATAGTTTTCATTGTAACTTACTTTTCAAGTGTTCTTATTTGCTATTTTTCCTATTAAAGTTTTAGCTTTTTATTTTTCATGTAAATAGTTATGCTTGTGAATTACTAAGTTAAGGTTTAGCTTTTTATCTTTCTTCATGTAAATAGTTAACCTTTTGAATTACTAAGTTAAGGTTTAGATTTTTATCTTTCTTCATGTAAATAGTTAACCTTTTGAATTACTAAGTTAAGGTTTAGCTATTTATCTTTCTTCATGTAAATAGTTAACCCTTTGAATTACTAAGTTAACTAAGTTAATGAAATTGATATTATTTATGCTGTTATGAGTAACTGTAATTTAAAGGTTGTGTGTTGGTTTGGATACTTGAACCTTTTTTAATTGAATTTGAATACATTTTTTTTTTATTTTGTCCAATTCGTTGTTAGTGCACAATGTTGAAGTTGATACAATTAAATGAATAAGCAAACTCAGTAGATTTTTTATTGACTTTATGATTACAAGTATGGCATATTTCTTGTACAAAGGGCAGTTTGGGTTAAAATAGGCCTACTCATTTTGTTAAGTCTGTTGGTGAACCCTTCTAATGGAACTTTATGTAGGCCTATTTATGTTGGGTTTTTTTTTTAAATTATTACTTGTGACCTTTTTAATTAATTTTGTACCTTACAATCGTTCTTGCTCTAAGAGCAAGGTAAAGTTTTGGGTAGGTGTATTTGTCAAATGCAAATACGTTTTTTTTTAAGGAATACGTCCGTTTTTTGTTATCGATGTGTATTTTTTCTGTGTGTAGTTGAATTGTACCTCCATGTTCTATTGCCGCTAGCACAGCATATGTTCCTTACAACCTGATCCCCGAGCAACGTTTTCGGTGACAATACCCAACCATAACACCTTCCCCGCTGTGACGTCATCACACAATGACCGGAAGCTGTAGTGCTATAAAACTTGCGTCCACCAGCCGTGGTCCCACTGGCGCTCAAGGTGTTGCTTTTGTTGGGGGCAGAGAATGGACATGCTAACTGAGTTGTTCGTGGCGGGGCAGGCGGTGAATGGACGGGGAAACGGATCACGGCTGGCCGCTTGTCAAGTGATAATTGATAGCGTTCAACTTCCTTCTACTATTTTAACGGTCAAATGATTGTGATTTCACCCCCCCCCCCTTTCCTTCCCCTAGCCACAGGTAATTGGCATCCTTTACCTGTCACTGTTGTGGTAGAAGTGTGACTTCTTTTTAAGGCGTGGGGGGGGGGGGTACCTTTATAATGACAACAGCTAATTAGCTAATTGAAATGTAAAGACTGGCGGAAATAATGGGAGTTCATTCTTGTGCATGGTGTTAAATTTTGTCAAATACACCACTACTTGAATCTCTACTCGCAAACACGTTTAGACCGAGCTATATTTTACTATACAATGCTACATTTCTACCGTCCAACAACTAAAATGAAATCAAAATGTAAGAAGATTGAAAAATTGGAATAAAAGCCTTAAGTAAAAGAACAACTGTATGCCTGCTATAAGCTTGATTTTCCCCTTCTCAATTAGTAATAAATAATTAAATGTCATTTTAAAAGTTTTACCTTCATTGAACAAAACGACAGCATCGTTTAAATAGATAAGAATTTATAGATAATATATGTTACAAAAAATGTGATATATGTACCACATTTATTAAACATTAAAATGTAATGGATTTATAGAAAATGACAGCCTTAAGGCCATAACACTGCACTGAAGTTATTATTTGCAAGAAAAACTTGCTGGTAATACGTATTATCATTAGAAAGTTCTACTAGCGGTTGTATAACTTCACAATAAAATATCTAATATTCAGAACCACAACTTTCTGATAAAGTACAACGTATTAGCAGTATGGTTCCTTTCAAACCGCGTTTGCTCGTATACTATTGACTAGTTTTTGCTGAACACTTTACTGTTTTTACCTTACATCATTTATTGTGAGTCACAGACGGACGATTGTGTTGGAAGCGCCAATAACTTATAGTCCTATTTTTCATTCCGTGGGCCATTAAAGTCTTTATCCCAGACAGCAGTTAAAGAGGGCGCTCGGGTTTATTGTTTTGTTGTGATGGGGGAAGAGGCATTTTGATATTTTAGAACGAGGCTGGTGGGAAGTAAAGGCGGCTGGGTACAATACAACCCCCTTGAATTTTGTAGCCATGGTAACAACCCATCCCCTTTACCGTATGGACTGGGGGGTCTTTAAAACGAATTCTACTCATCGCCCCCGTTGCTGACCCCCGTAATGCCCTGAATGACCTTGAACACCGGACCCACCGTCTTGACCTCATGTGTGGCAAGCGGCGACTCCGCGCCAATAAAACACTTTCGAGAAAGATTTAGTAGCGGTCATACCTCTCCCCCCAGCCGGGATAATCTTAGCTTTATCGTTGGGTTTTCTTTACTGCTTTACCGGCATAAATTCCGTTCGTCGTTAATGTGTATCCTCGCCTACAAAATGGAGGCAGTTGTAGTTTGATTCGTAGGTTTTACTTTCCTGACATTATGGCAGCTTCAAGGCTAGCTGTATTTTTCTGATTAAATTTAAAATAAACTTGATGAACAGTTTTTATTCACTAATTCTTTTTCTTCGTTCTTAATTATAACATTGAAAGGTATTTCCTCCAAAGCAAATATTAATTACGCCTCACGCATCATGAGCCGTATCGCTCGTTGACTCCTACTTCAGTCTGTTTTTCTATCTTGAGGTGCTTCCATAGTATTTGCCCATCCAAGACAGCAGTTTGAATATGGAGTTTTTTCTCCTCGATGGGTTGTTGACGTTATCCTTTGCATTACTCCCATTCGCTATTTACCACCATACATGTTTGAGAATAACGACGTTAGCAAAATCTTTCAAGGACTGTGCGATGTTGGATTATTAACAACATGGTTGTTTAGTCGCTTGCATGACTTAAACTCCATATTTTCCATGGAACAAGTTAAAAAAAAAAAAAAACTACGGTAACAAAACATATTTTAGACCGCCTGATATTAGATCAGCTGCGTGTTAGGTTAGTCGCTTGTACGACTCAAACTAGCTATTTACCATGTAACACGTTTAAAAATGACGAGAAGAAAATGTTCATGGACAGTAAAAATTTGACTGCCTGATGATGTATCAACAAAACAGTCGCTTGTAAAAATGTATGACTCAAACTCTCTATTATATAACACTGAACTCGTTGAAAATAAAGACGGTTACAAAACAGTTCTTGGACTGCCTTTCCCCCCCCCCCTCCCCTCCGAAAATATCAAGCACCCCCCTCGGAGAAAAAAGTCTGGAAGAAACACTGGTCGCTTGCATGACTCATATTCGCTATTTACCATGTAACACGTTTGAACATAACGAAGTCAACCAAAAATTTTCCTGTCATGTTTAGGAACTTAGCAAGGCTGTAAACCTGTCCACTCTGTGACCTACTTAGGTCGAGTCATTTTTATTTTGACATTGTATAATTCCTTATATGGAATGATGGTGTAACACCTGGGGTTTTTCCACTGACTTATTAAGGTGTTTGGGACATAGAAAATTTCCATTAAAATCTGATTGAATGATTCTGATCAGATGATTATCCCAACCAATGGCGACATGAGTTGAGGATAACCTCCCCTGTCACAGAAGTCTTTAATTGCACTGCACACTCGCAACACGAGGCAGTTGATCTTGACCTGGCAGTCTACGAGGCCGTTTTACCTTAGTCAGGCAGCCGTCCATATTGTCCGGCTATAGACTCTGACCATTTGAACGTGAGAGTACTTAAGACCTGTGTGTGCTTTGCTTTCTTAAGTGATTTAATCTTCTAGTTTAATATTACTTGTCGCTAAGTAAGTCTAGAAGCTACAGCAGTGTTGTGTGGCCTGTAGCTGTTCTTTGGACAGTGTAGAAATCTGTGATAGTGTTTTTTTCCTACATTGTGTAAGTTGGGTTTTTGATATTTTATACATTAAATATTTTATCTAGTTCATCTTTGTGTTTTGCCACATCTGAGTTCGCTGATTAAATGGTCGTATGTAGATTGGATGAGTGTTAATTACAATAGTATCACTAGCTCCCCTAGACATTAATTTCGAGCCCTAGTGGTCGTTGTGTTAAGTGTTCATCCACTTAGGCCGTAAGGCATTTGCATATGACCCCGAAAAAAGAATCCGGGGACGTTCTCCTTCTATTTGGCTGATAGAAAGGTTAACGTTACAAAGTGGGGTCTCGCCGAGATTTAATCTGTCGTTCCAGTTGTTGGTTATATCAGTTGAATACTAAGGTTAGTTGGATTTAGCTGTTTTTATATCCAGTAGCGCAGTGTTCTTACAACGCGCGCTCAGGCTAGAGTATCTAGGTCAAATAAGCAGACGTGTCACGTCCTACATTTAGAGGTCAAGTACACGGCCCAACGCTGTGTAGTAATTTAAAGAATCTAGGCTTGTTGTGATTTTCAAGTTAGTGTTATGGAGTCTTTTTTGGCTAATCCTACTGTTGAAGATGTAGAAAAGTTGAGTAGAAAAGTTTTGGTTAGTGTTGTTAAGGAATTGAAATTGGATTATTCTGTTACGCAGAAGTCAGAGGTGTTGAGAGATAAAATTGTTGTTCATTTCATTAATGAAGGAGTATTTGACGAAAGTTTGTTAGCTAGTGTGTTGCTCCGCGAGGAGAAATCTATAGAAGAGAGAGAGCTTTTATTAAAAGAAAAGGAGTTAGAGGCTAAAATTGCTTTAGATAAGAGGAGGTTGGAATTAGAGTTTGGTCAAGTTAGTGATGTCACTTCTCCGGTAGATCCAAAAAAGTTGTCGGTAGGGCAAGTGATTGCCAAATTTGGGAAATTAGTTCCTAAATTTGATGAAACAGATTTGGTCGTTTTCTTTAACTCGTTTGAGAGTTTAGCGAAGACATGTGAATGGCCCGAAACTTCCATTACTGCTTTATTGAGCTCTGTCCTTACTGGGAAAGCTGCAAAAACATACCAGGCACTCTCTCACGACGTTCAAAATAACTATAGTTTGGTCAAGACTGCCATTTTAAAGGCCTACGCACTGACGCCCGAGGCCTATCGGACAAAATTCCGAACACTCCGCAAGTTACCCACACAATCATATGTGGAATTTCTCTTTGAAAAGGAGAAAATATTTTCAAGGTGGCTACACTCTGAAGAAGTTTCTGAGTTTGAGAAACTCAGGTCACTTATCCTAAGGGAAGAATTCCTATCGTCCCTGCCTGAAGAGATACGACTACACATACTGGATAACAAGATAACTGACATCCAGAAGGCTGCTGAGTCGGCTGACACATATATGTTGGTGCATAAGAAACCACCAGTGTCAGGAAACCGCCTCAACCCCGTGCTTCCCCCTTTTGGCAGCAATCCTCCTGTTGGCCAACACGTGAAGGCATTACAGTCCAGAGAGAAACCAAGATCAACTCTCAATCGTCGAGCAGTATGCCAGTTCTGCAAAAGGCCTGGTCATCTTGTCAAAGACTGTTACAAACGTCTTCAGAATAACAGAGAGGTGGTGCGTACTTCCGCGCACTATGCTCTATCCCCTCAAGCAGCCAGTTCAACTATGAACTCTAGAATTCAAA